TCAGACTTTCCTCCCAACTTTTCCTTCGGCGTCGCCACCTCTTCATATCAGGTGTTCTGGGTTTTGTTTTGATCAGGTCATCATGCATCATATTATGCATATCTGACTCTTGGCTTGAATTCATCTCCAATTTGTGAACTGGGTTTGGTCTGATTCTCCCGTACTGACTTCTCATGTTCTGTTTGGTGCTTTGACTGAGAATTCTATAAGAGATTGTCCATGTTTGTGTATCTTCGTAATGGTATCCATTTCTTACAAATCATGAGATGGGCTTTTGTTCTTTTTAATTTCTCTGTATTGACCAGTGGCAGAGCCAGAATTTGAGATGAGGGGCCAAATTTTTGGATACTTAAATCAAACTTGTGGAAAGTATTATTTCTCTGTTATGTTTTGGTTGTGTTAATTTTACTTTTGTATAAAGTTTGACTTGATGGTGCTTTTGTATAAAGGATTGTTTTCCTATAGTAATATTAGCCAGGCCAGTGGATATCTAGTATTTTAATGTAATATCCATAAAAATCGAAAGAAGACTTCAACAATTTTGAATCTAATTGATTGTTTGTTTCATATCTTTAGATTGAAGGTGCCTGCAAGGAGGGTGGCAGGGGTGCTAGCATATGGGATTCTTTTTCACACACTGAAGGTTTGTACCATTTTCTGTAAAGAGAAAGAAATGACAATCTTCTTTGTCATCAATCGGCTTATCATTCTGAAACTGGACTTTATACTTTGTTATGATAATGAAATTTTGTTTGGTTTTTTTTTTTTTAATTTTCCTTTGTAAAGGAAAAACTGTTGATGGAAGCACTGGTGACATAGCCGTGGACCATTATCATCGATACAAGGTCAGTGTTATTAGTTATTTCTAGTTCACTTTTTTCATTTGCTCTCCCAGTGCCTTTGTGTTGTTATTGTTTTCTGGTGCTTATCTCCGTTGATTCCTTTTTCTCTTTGGGTTTGGGGAGTTGCTGAGATGGAAAGAGATGGTGCTCCTTTGGCTGTACCTTTTATGTTGAATAGTCTGTCTAGCTATTTTACTTGAACTCCCATAAAGGAAATATTAAATGTTGAAAATTATTAATGTATTTGGAAGTGTACTAGCGAGGTCAAAATTCTACATTGTAGAGTGATGCTTGATAGCCATATTTTCTTCAATTTATTAGATTCTACCTTTCTGAACTTAATCTTGATTTATAGGAAGATGTTGACCTTATACATGAGTTTGGGTTTGATGCTTATCGATTCTCTATATCATGGTCTCGAATTTTCCCTGGTATGCCCTTCTATTCTATCTTGAATTTTTTGTTTTAGCACAGAACTTCTGTTAGACATTTTTCGAATAGAGAATTCTGCACCTCTGGGAACCTTGGGCCTTCTTTAGATACAGAGAAGTATTTAAGAGAATGCCTATTCCAGTTAGTTGTTGAAGCTCTCTGTTATAGTATTTGTAAACTTTTTTGGTACTCATATGGCCATATTCGATTTAGTTTGTTCTGTCTTGGAAGCTCCTTTTGTTTAAAAAAAAAATTGTTTTCGCCTTTATTCATCCCCCAGTTCTGTTCCCAATTGATTCAGCTTACACGGTTCCTTTTTGTATTGTGATGACAATTAAATGTGTTTGTTTCTATCTTTATACTTTTAGATGGTTTAGGAACCAAAGTCAACGATGAAGGGATTGCTTTCTATAACAATCTCATTAATGCTCTTCTTGAAAAGGGTATGAATCAATCTACGTCTAGTTGATTTTTCTTCTTGCTGCAATAATGATATGAAATAAAGAACTTTGCCAGTGCAGGTATTCAACCCTATGTAACTTTATACCACTGGGATCTTCCTTTGCATCTTGATGAATCAATGGGAGGGTGGTTAAATAAGGAAATTGTGTAAGTATGCTTGTATTGTCTGCATAAATTTCAATATTGAGTATAATGTTTCTTGTCTCTTTATATTTCATTTGTCGCTGTTAAACTGAGCTTATTTGGTTCAAACACTGATAAACATACAGGTTTATCAACATGGATTATTCTCTCTACCAGTTTAGTATGTCCAGCTTACTATTATAACACTCCTGAGCTCCCTTTTATTATTTTCAAGCTTGTAGATGTCACAATTAAGGAGCGTGTTACCATCTATATCTTGGATATAGTACATTCACCAATTTAATGAAGATTGCATGGGGGAATAAATATGTTCTGAATGCATAGGGATGGTGTCCATCATCTATTTAATTTCTACAATTTATGGAGGTGCAGGGATTTGAAAACGCACTTGCTGTTGATTCTTATCAATCACAAAAAACGTTGAAACGTCACTGTATTTTCAATGAAACTCACTCTTGCATTTTACTTTGAAGATCAATTACATCTTTGCAGCAACCATGTCTTTACATCTAATAATTTATCTTGAGAAAAAAATCTCACCATACCTTTTCATTTTATCTCCTTCTTACTCTCTGCTAGAATCTAATAAATTTTGTGGAGTTCCAGTCTAATTTGTATGTTAATGAGTGGCATGGCTTCCTTTTGTCCAGGAAATACTTTGAAATCTATGCCGATACTTGCTTTGCAAAATTTGGTGATAGAGTAAAAAATTGGATCACAATCAATGAACCTATGCAAACTGCGATAAAAGGGTATGATACTGGGAAACATGCTCCTGGAAGACGTGAAGGTTCAGCAACAGAACCATATTTGGCAGCACACCATCAGATTTTGGCTCATGCAAAAGCTGTTTCAATATACAAGAGCAAGTACAAGGTACATGTTTGAATGTTCATACTTTGTTTTTTTGCGCTAAAAAGATACTCTTATCTGAATAATCTGAAGAGAAAATCGATTGGTTTTTCTCCATCCCTTTGTTCAAGGAAAAGCAAGGGGGACAAATAGGATTGGTGGTGGATTGTGAATGGGCAGAGGCTAATTCTGAAAAAAGTGAAGATAAACTTGCTGCAGCAAGGTGCCTTGATTTTCAGCTGGGATGGTAGTTTTTTAAACTCAATTAATCTCCTTTCTTTGTGGATGTCAAGTTAAATATTTTTATATTGGCTGTATGCAAATAGACTTGTAATATAGAGATTTTACTTAAATACACCGTCTCTTCGCTACTTTCCCAATCGTAGACCTATACCATCTGTGAATCCCCTCGGCAAGTGTTGGACTATTTTTTTTTTTTTTAAACAATAAATGGGTGAGATGAGGAAGCTAAATTTTTTTATGGTTAGTGCAACTTTATGATAATTTATTTATATAATTAAATCATATTTTTCAATTAGGAATTTCTTATGACTTCCAATTTTCATGTGTCTATTATCATTTTTGTCACAGGTACTTACATCCTCTCTATTATGGAGACTACCCTCAAGTTATGCGTGAAAAACTTGGAAACCGACTTCCCAAGTTCTCAGAAGAAGACAAAGAGTTGCTTAGGAACACAATGGACTTTGTTGGCCTGAATCATTATACAACAAGGTTTATTGCTCATGCAACAGATGGTCCTGAAGAAGTTTTTTTCTATAAAGATCAAGAGATTGAAAGAATTGGTAATGATACATATGAAAATTTTTTGCTTACCATTTATATATTTTGGTTGGAATACTAACTTTTACCATTCATTATCAGCTCAATGGGAAGGGGGTGAGATGATTGGTGAGAAGGTACGAATTATGTCTCTGGTGTCCTTGTGCATGTGTAGTTATGCATAGACTAGGGCTTTGGAAGATCCAGATCTTCCAGTCTACTAAGAGATATATGAATGGCAGGCAGCTTCGGAGTGGCTCCATGTTGTGCCCTGGGGCATACGGAAGGTTTTGAATTACATAGCTCAGACATATAATAATCCCACGATATATGTGACTGAAAATGGTACCTGACTCCCCTTCTCCTATAGCAATAATAATTGATTTATGACCTCAATTTAGCATATTTGTTTTAAATGCCGATCTGTGGTTACCGCAATGTCAGCTGTCTCATGGTACATTTTATTTTCTCTGAATACTCAGTTAACTGCTGTTTGACAGGTATGGATGATGAAGATGACAGTAGTTTGACTCTCCATGAGGTGCTGGATGACAAATTGAGGGTTTCCTATTATAAGGGATACCTTGCAGCAGTTGCTCAGGCTATCAAGTAAGCCAGCCCCCTCTTGATCTTCTTATTAGATACGAGGGTGATACTTACTCATATTTACTTTAAAAGCAATGTTAAATCACATCATAATCATATTTGAGCATTCTTGATCTCATGCCAAGTAAGCTGTGCTATGTTGGTTTTTACTGGGTGATTTACTATTGCTAATGCCTTCTCATTTGGTTTGCCAATGATGACTAGTTAGATTAGACATAAAAACAGCAAATGAAATAAAGGGTGACTATATCAACAATTAGAGCAAATGAAACAAAATAGGTACGTGTGTTTATCATTTGCATGGACAGGGATGGGGTAGATGTCAGGGGTTACTTTGCTTGGTCACTATTGGACAACTTTGAGTGGGCTGAAGGCTATACCAAGCGCTTTGGTATAGTTTTCGTGGATTACAAGAATGGTCTCAGCCGGCATCCAAAATCTTCTGCATATTGGTTCTCAAAGTTCTTGAAAGGCGATGAGAATAAAACTGGCAAAGAAAACTAGATCCCTATAGAAGTGGATCCTCTTCCTCCCTCTTACTCAAGCCTAGGTTTTCATGTATGATGCTGCATGGTAGTACTGTAGTTGGAGATGATGCATTAGGTGAGTTTGTGGATCACGTAGATTCCACAGGCATGCCACTCTCTCTATGTAGCACCTATTATGTTTTGTGGTCCAAATAAAGTATTTGAGGGCACTTTGTAATATCACAATAATATGAGGACCCTAGTACCAGAAGAATATCTTATTATGTAAATAGTTATATCATTATGGATGTTTGTGGATCATGTAGATTGTAGCATACCAAAACTTCCAGACATGGATGCCACTGTGTCTCTCTCTATGTAGCACTTATTATGTGGTCCAAATTAAGCATTTGAGAAAACTTTGTAAAATCTCAATAATATAGAGGACCCTCGTACCAGAAGGACATCGTATTATATGAATGGTTAAATGATTATCAATATATATATATAGTCATATCATTACGGAGCTTCTTTAAAAAGATTATGAAGTGAAAAAAAAGGCTGTGTTTTAGGCACATGTTTCAGAATTCATAAAGATGGTTTGGATGTCTTATTTTTGGACTAAGATCTATGTTTATCATAAAAAATTTAAAATTTAATATATTAGTAGCCTAAAATTGATACTATTTAAATTTTTTTATAATATTTTATTAAAATCACATTATTTTAAATATTTTTCTGTCTATTTTTTAAAATCTTAACTAATGAACATTAATCTCCATATTTATTTCTATATTTATGAATTTGTTATGGGAGTGGTTGTGGACGAAAGTATAACAATGACCACACTGAGATTTAAGTATTTAACTGGTCCTTACTATTAACGGCCGATAATCAAGAGAGAAAGAAAGCCTGATCGCTCGAAAGGCGGCAAGTCACTTAATGGGACAGTTGACTGCCACGCACAGATATGATAGTTTCGGTTAAAATACCAATCTGGAGTCCTTCAACTTTTAAGACAAATTTGTCCTTAAACTTCAATTTTTTTTTAATATTAATTTGGTTCTTCTGTCAATTAAATAACGATGTGGAAGATTTTTCCATTAACTAACTCAATTTTTAAAATTTTAAATGTGAAGTGGAAATTTAAAAAGTTGATGTGTTTAATTTTTTGGGAGATTACAATAAATATTGATTAATTAATCTTAAATGTCAAATTTATTACTATATTAAAAAGTTGAGGGACTAGATTGGTATTTTAACTAATAGTTTCAGATGACTACCAAATTGTTATTTGAAAAATAATTGTAAAATCTCATAAATTATTTAAAAATTAATTTTTTTATGTTAATAAAATTTATAATATTATACATATATTATTTAATATTATTGGCTTATAATATTATATATATTATTTAATAATTAATTTTTTATTTTATAAAAATATGTAATATTATATATATACACACAATTAATGAGACATAAATATTATATAAAAAATTATATAAAAAATTGTATGCATATAATTACCTTTATTATTTGGGTTTTGCCTTAAGACTATAATTGATGCACTTTTATATATTAATTTGTATTGAAGAAAATATAATTTAATTTTTATTTGATCATATGTTTGATTAAAACAAGGAAAAAAAGTAAAAATTAAGATGTTTTTGTTAAATATTAAAACTCTTTATGAAATTATTTAAATGTTTTTAATAAAATTTTTAATATATTAATTTATTAAATATTCAAATAATTTTTTAAAAATTTTAATGTTTTAATTATTAAAGTGTTTTAATTTTTCACAATTCTTTAAAATAATATACATTATATTATTGGTAAAATTAAGGTCAGCTTTGATAATTTTCATTCAATTTAATACTCCTTTTATTTATTTTTAGTAAATTTAATTGATTTTTTAATTTTTCAAATATGAATTTTAGATAAAAAATTTAATAATTTATACAAGTAATAATTAAAATTTTTTAATCAAATAAAAAAACTCAACAAAAAATTATATGTAAGAAAAAAATATAATTATTATTTATATAAATTATTAAATTTTTATTTAAAATTTATAGTTTAAAATTTAAAAAGTTAAATCAAATTTATGAAAAATAGGTTGGGGATTATTATAAAAAATAACCATGTTAATTATGCATTCGTTTTCCCTTCCAGCCTTCCCTTTTTTTCTTTTTTTTTTTTCTTTTTTTATAGTATGTACACTAGTGACGCCTTAATCGTCAGGATTTCACGTTTCTCTTCCAACTCGGTCAATGGAGAAAACTCGACGGAGAGCCCAAGCAATCCTAATTTCCGGGAAGGCTATGGAGATCGAAGTAAGAACTAAGGTTTCTGGTTCTTTTGCTTTGACAAATTTCTTATGTATTGCACCTTATAACTGTTGGGGATTTCAAGCATCACAATTCCACACAAACGGAAACGATAAAAAAATTGAGACTAATTTAACGTGATTCGATATGTACACCTCTCAATAAATTTACGTTCACAGGAAATAGAGAAATAAATTCACTATTAAGAAAAAGAGTACAATAATTTAGAAGCTTTCTCACTCAAGAAGCACTCAACACCCTATTTTCAATGTATGGAAGTTCTCAAATTTTCCCAAATACGCCCTCTTAATCTACACAAGGATTTCTCACAATTTCTCTTTTTCTTTTCTCTCACAAAAGCTCTCACTCAATTTCTCTTGCTTTCTCCTATTCTTGCTTGCCCATTGCCTTTGCATGCATGGGTATTTATAGTGAAAAATCCAACCACCCATGCACCATTTTTCTTTGCCTCATTACTACCCGTCCATGATTTTCTTTGTTCATTAAATGGCTCAACATGCAATCTTAGCCCACAACTAGCTAGGTTGGTGACGAAATTTCACCACATGGAAAGTCCATGTGTTCACATGCATGTGGTTGGACTTCCTATCAACAATAGCAGTATTCCATTTCCATCCTTAATCTATGACAGTAAGGTTTGCAGAAGATAAGTTCTCGAGTATTAGTCAACAAAATCTCCAAATGAAGTCGGTGAGGCAAGAACCAGGTTAGGGTTTCTTGAAAATATTCGAAACTAATCATATAATTTACATGACAATTGCTTTTTTTTTTCTCTCTCTCTTTTAACAAGTACGTTTTGGGGGTGAGGGATAGAGAATAGAATCCAGCCACAGGGGCTAGAGTTTTTGCACCTTCACCAGTTGGCAGCAAAGGCCAAGAGTAGATGGCGATTGCTTTAAATTTTTAAAAGGAGTAAATCTGGGGCTTCTCTTAATCCTTTGATGTTCTTCTTTTGTAAACATATAAAAAATTAAGGTTTATATGCAGTCAAGGCTAAAACGGAGAGTAAAGACTCGTAGAGCTGTGTATATGCAGTCAGGCAGACTCAAAGGCATTTAGCTGCAAAAAAAGAAGAAAGGAAAAAGGCTGGTGACGGAAAACATGGAGCAGGAGGTGGCCTTTGAAGCAAACTCAATTGATCTGGTAGCAGACGAATCTATAAATGACAGTAATATCCCAGAATTGTAACAAGAGCATTGAATTGAAGAATAGAAGCAGAGGCACAGAAGCTTTATGGAGATGCATCAATGAATTGGGAGTCTCAATTGAAGGGAATAAGATACCTCTGCTACAAAAACTAGAAGAGATGGAGCAGAGGGATAGAGAAAGAAGAAAGAAAGACACGGTAAGCACTCTTACTAGAAATCAAGTGTCTGCTAAGGTTTCATGATTATGTTATCATTGAATATTAGGGGATTAGGAGGGTTGGGGAAGAAGAGGGAGGTTCAAGAATTGGTGATGAGGCATAGAGTAGAGATTTGTTTTTACAAGAAACAAAAATGGACATAATGGACAAACAATTATGTAGAAAGCTCTGGGATTCAGATAACATGGAGTGGGTAGCAAAATCATTTTCGGGAGCCTCTGGAGTTTTAATCATAATTTGGAATAGTGAAACATTCAAGAAAGTAGATGTTTTTGAAGGTGATGGTTTTATTGGGATTTATGGGTTATGGGGACCTGATGCTTACCCGTATTTTTTGTGCAATGTGTAGTCTACGCATGACTTGGCGGAAAAGAAAATTCTGTGGAGAACAATCTCACAGCTAATAAGGAATAATAGGGGATGCTGGTGCATAAGGAGGGATTTTAATGCTATCAGATGCCTACAAGAAAGGAAGGGGGGTAAGAGTGCGAGGAGAGAAATAAAGGGTTTTGAAGAATTCATTTTGAATAACAACTTGATGGATTTGCCTCTGTTGGGAAGAAAGTATACATGTTATCAACCAAATGGTCAATGTATGAGCCGTTTGGACAGGTTCTTGTTCAATGAAGAATGGTTAAGGAAATGGCTTGATTTGAAGCAATGGGGTTTTCACAGATCTTTGTTAGATCATTGTCCTATACTGGTAAAAAATGAGGCACAGAATTGGGGACCAAAACCATTCAAATTCTTTAATGCCTGGCTACACAACCCTGGATTTAAAGAGATGGTTGCAGCAAAATGGAAAGAGACTTGAGTCCAAGGATGGGGTGGATACATTTTAAAGGAAAAATTCAAGTTGATTAAAGATTTTGGTTTGGTCAAGATCTTCTTTACAAGAAGTGGATAGGAAAATTGAGGAATCCAAGGAGGAGATAAATAGAATTGATGGAAAAGTAGAAACAAGCAACTTAACAATTGAAGATCTATTACTCAGAAGCTTCAACTACACTGAGTTGTTAAAGAATATGTAGTTGAAAGAAGAGATGGCCCAATAGAAAGTGAGGAAAACTTGGTTGAAAACAGGGGATGCTAATGCTAGTTTCTTCCAAAAATGCATCAAGGGGAGATGGAACATAAATGAAATAAATGTAATCTCCATAGAAAGCAAAGAGCTAAGGCAAGTTGGAGAGATAAAACAAGGTGTAATGAAGCATTTTGAGAACTTATTCACTGACGAGGGATGGCCAAGACTGACATTAGAGGGGTTGAATTTCAAAACTATTTCAGAGGCAGATAGATGCATGCTTACTGAACCTTTTACAGAAGAAGAAGTCAAAACAGCAGTATGGAATTGTGACAGCACCAAAGCACCAGGTCCAAATGGATTCACTTTTGGTTTTATAAAGAATGGATGGGAGATGATTAAAGCAGATATCATGGAGTTCCTCAAGGATTTTCACAGCAACGGAAGATTGGTAAGGGGCTATAATGCTTCTTTTCTCGTCCTGATGCCAAAGAGAGAGAATCCTCAAGGGGTTGAGGAGTATAGACCCATCTCTTTAATTGGATGCACTTACAAAATTTTTGCTAAACTGCTCGCAAATAGACTCAGCAGAGTACTAAACTCAATTATAGGAGAAAATCAATCTGTTTTTATTGAGGGAAGACAATTGGTAGACGTAGTGGTTGTCGCGAATGAGGTGACTGATGGAGTGTGAAAAAGAAAATCCTAGTGTTTTATCTTCAAAATCGATTTCGAAAAGGCTTACGATAAGGTGAGCTGGCCATTTCTTGATTACATGATGGAGAGAATGGGTTTTGATACAGTATGGAAGGGGTGGATTTCTGAATGCTTAAAATCAAATACCATGTCGGTTTTAGTTAATAGAAGCGCTACTAAAGAGTTCTCGATGACAAGAGGGCTCCGACAAGGTGATTCATTATCTCCATTTCTATTCTTAATGGTGGCAGAAGCTTTAAATGGACTAACCTCCGCAGCTGTTACAAAAGGTTACTTCCATGGAGTCAAAATAGGAGATGGGGAGCTAGAGATTAACCAACTACAGTTTGCGGATCACACACTCTTTATAGGTGAGGCAACTGAAGATAACATCTAGACAGTGAAATGCATAATGAGGGCATTTGAATTGGTGTCAGGCTTGAAGGTAAATTACAGAAAAAGCTCTTTAATTGGGGTTAATATTGATGAAGAATGGACCAGAAGGATGGCATGGATGCTGAACTATAAAACAAATTCCCTTCCTTGTAAGTACCTTGGCATGCCTTTGGGGGCAAACCCAAGGAGAATAGCCACTTGGAAGCCACTAATTGAAACATTTAGAAGAAAGCTATCAGTTTGGAAAGGAAGATTCTTATCTCTTGGCGAAAGAATCACCCTCATAAACTCTATGCTATTCAGCCTATCAGTGTTCCTGATGTTGGTATATCTACTCCGAAAATAGGTAATCCATGAGCTTGACAAAATTAGGAGAAATTTTTTGTGGGGCGGTGTTGAGGGAGGTAGAAAAATAGCATGGGTATCTTGGGATAGGGTTTGTAGCATAAAAAAAGAGGGAGGTTTAGGGATAAAAAACCTTAGATGGTTTAATATAGCCTTGTTCAGCAAATGGTGGGCGAGGTTAATAGGGGATGAGAAGGGTTAGTGGGCTAGGGTGCTGTTAGAAAAATATGGTAGCAAGGAAGGAAATTGGTTATCAAGGTTGAGAGAGGGTTGGGTCTTAGGATCATTTTGGTGGAAAGATATATGTAAACTAAACACAAGTCTAGGTAGCAAGGATGGGTGGTTGCTTTTGAATTTCAGCATGAATTGGGGTGAAGGGAAAAGTGTTAGATTCTGGTTAGATGCATGGGCGGGAGGGATCTCATTTGCTAATATTTTTCCAAGACTTCTTTTGTTGGCTACAGAAAAAAATTGCAACATCCATCACATGGGACAATGGATAGACGGATGTTGGAATTGGAAATTTCAGTGGAGGAGACATCTTAAAGCTTGGGAAGAGGACAATCTGCAACAATTGTTTGAGGCCATAAACATAAAATCCAGTGCAAGGTGTAAAGGACACCTGGAGTTGGAGATTGGACACTGGGGGAAGATATACCACAAGGACAGCTTATGAATAGCTTGCAAAGGAAGGGGAAAATAGGCTGCTAGAGTACAGAAAAATATGGGAGGCGCAAGCTCCATCAAAAGTGAATGCTTTCTCATGGCAACTACTCTTAGATAGAATTCCTACGAAGGTTAACTTGGCAAAACGTGGAATTTTAGATGTTAATCAAAATTTAAAATGCTTTTGGTGTGATCAATATCCTGAAGACACAGAACATCTTTTTCTGTCTTGCAACATCTCCTCTAATTTATGGGCAAAATGTATGAATTGGTGGGGATTATATTATGTTTTAGGGAACACCTGCATTGATGTTTTCAACCAACATAGATGGCACAAGGGTTCAAAAAGTCTAAAAAAGGGATGGAGCATGTTATGGTTTACAGTAGTGTGGTCACTATGGCTAAGCAGAAATGAAATTACTTTTCAACATAGGAAGCTAAATGAGGACAAGTTGTTTGAACTAGTACAAGCACGTTGATTTCACTGGGTTAGAAATCTGTTGAACCTAGAAAAATTTTCTTTCATGGAATGGATTTCTAATCTAGTGAGATGCTTGATAAACAAGAAATAGAGTCTCGATGGGAGGAGTTGGATTCTGGATCTATCTTTTGGATTGTTGGGTGATTTTATTTTGATCCCATTGTATACATGTAATTTCATGTACTAATGTCTATGGCTTTGAGTATCCCTTGTACTCATATAATAAAATTCATTTGCCTTTCAAAAAAAAAAAAAAAGGTTTATAGCTTATTTGAAATGAGGAGAGGGTAGAGGAGACAACAAAGAGAAATTTCTCAATTTAATTAATAAAAAATTGAAAGAAAAGGAAGAGGAGGGGAGGGATGTTTCCTTATTTTTCTTTAATTTCTTTTACAATTTGAAAGTTTTCCATTTTCAAGCTTTACGATCAAAAGTATTTCAAGTCTTCCTGTTAGTTTTAGGTATATGTTAATCCATAAAGCAAAGTATCTTATTTCAGAAATATTGAAGGATTGCAATGTCTTGAAATAGATGAGGAATGAAAGTATATACTATTTTCAAAAGGTTAAGAACTAATGAGGAAATTTATTCAAAAAATTATATGGGTTAAAGCCAATGAGAGTTCTTGTACTTGAGAAATTGTTTATTATACTTTTTATAAAAAATGCTAGTTCAATAGTATCCTTCTACTACTCACTTTTCTTCATTATTATTCTTGAAAGTTGTGGAAACCCTATATTTTATGTTTCATTTTTTAACTTTAACGCTTAATGACAGATGTTATTTAATAAAATTATTTTTAAATTCTTCATGATGCATGTAAATCTCTTAATTAATTGACTCACAGGTGCATTACTGTATTTTTTATCAAAGTTTTCAAAATTTTGTTAAATATTTTTGAACCCTTTTAGTGAATCGTGGAGATAAGAAAATCAAATATCTACATTTTTATTTACAGGTTGGTAGTTTTAGTTCATGCTTTCTCATTCGGTATTTACCGCCACAACGGAAAAGCACTTTTTGATGTGAAAACTGTGAGAACAAGAGTTCAAAACAAAATAAATCAAGAATAAATTTCGCCCCCTTAACCTATATTCCTGACCCCTCCTGCAGGAAATACTGAACAATTTTTTACAAGATTTGATCCTAAGCAATTCCACCACTGAGCAAAATCTTTCGGAGTCGATTAGGCAACAACAACCAGAACAAGTTCAATGTCTACCTGGAGATATTTCGTCTGCAGATTCTCATACAAGAATAAATTGTATTCCTGAAAATACTGCACTAGACCCCGCGCATGCCAGAAAAAGAGAAGCCGACCGAAAATATAGAAAGTGAAGGTAATTAATGATCTTCTTAAGTGGGAAATTTAGAGAATCCTTGCATATATATAAGATGAGTTCATTCTAACTATTTTCTTTGAAAATGCTAGGTTTAAGAGATTAATAATTGAGAGAATTTTTGTATAATTTTTTATATAATTTTATAAGTCATTTGATTATAGATAATGATATGTAAATAATTTTTTATAATATTTTTATATAACTTTTATCTATTATTAAATAACTAAATATATATAATATCATATATTCTAATAAAATAAAAAAAATCAATTGATGATAAAAAAAAGTTGAAAGGAATCAATCATAACATGTAAGATTGTATGAAAAAACTAAAAAGAACAAAGAAAATACAATAGTTGAAAATTTGATTTTCATTAGATAGAAAACCAAATCATGCCCAGGCCTAGCTGTGGTGGGCGTAACCTGTAGGCCTAAATATGCCACTACCCTGTGGTCTTTTGGGTTAAAGTTTTAAAGTAAAATAATCGACTAAGATGGAGGAAGAGATCAAGAGAAGGAAGGAAAGGGTAAGAAGAAACTCTTTTGTTGGAGAGAAACTTTAAAGAGGAAAACCCACGTCTTTGCCCTCAATCTTAAAAACAGTGCACGAGAACGTAATAAATCTCTTAACTAGGAGTGCATCTTAAGATTGTTTAAAAAGAAATTAGTTTTAATATATATAAATTGATTTAAAAATATTTTAACAATAAATAAAAAATACAAATGTGCATAAGTTGTTTTTAATTAAATCAAAAAAAAATTAATTTCAAAATATACATAAATTAACTTGGAGCACCTTGACCACTAAAAAAAAATGTTTACTCCCTTACTCTGTTTTAATTAAGAGAAATAAATTGGTGAGGACCTCCACTCCCTTTCCCTCATTTAAATAAATTAATTAATTAAAGATTCAAATTCTTATTTACATTCTGTATATTATTTATTTTTATAGTCAATATTCTCTAATATTTTTCCTTTTCATCAACACCCCGCAATCTTCAAAATACATAGAAAATCCAAAATTTAAATGGAAAGTCATGTGACTCACGTGTCCATTACTTCCATTAGCTCATCCCCCATGTGAAACTTATTAAGGACATGTTTAGAAATTTGAATTTGTATTTAAGG